GCGCGCGCGCGCGCGCGCGCGCGCGCGCGCGCGCGCGCGCGCGCGCGCGCGCGCGCGCGCGCGCGCGCGCGCGCGCGCGCGCGCGCGCGCGCGCGCGCGCGCGCGCGCGCGCGCGCGCGCGCGCGCGCGCGCGCGCGCGCGCGCGCGCGCGCGCGCGCGCGCGCGCGCGCGCGCGCGCGCGCGCGCGCGCGCGCGCGCGCGCGCGCGCGCGCGCGCGCGCGCGCGCGCGCGCGCGCGCGCGCGTAGTTATCATAGACAAAACACAAAAATAACAAATGTAGCCGAAACCACAGGAGTAGCTACTGTAGAAAGTAGAAAAAACACAAGGCTAGCGACTGTAGACAAACCAGGTAGACTAAATACAGTACTGTAGACAGAACTCAATAGACTAGCTACTACAGACAAAACCCAGTAGACTAGCTACTGCACTGTAGACAGAACTCAATAGACCAGCTATTACAGATAAAACACGGTAGAATAGCTACTGTGCTGTAGACAGAACTCAATAGACCAGCTATTACAGACAAAACCTGGTATACTAGCTACTGCACTGTAGACAGAACTCAATAGACCAGCTATTACAGACAAAACACGGTAGAATAGCTACTGTACTGTAGACAGAACTCAATAGACTAGCATCTATAGACAAACACGGCAGACTAGCTACTGTACTGTAGACAGAACTCGATAGACTAGCTACTATAGACAGAACTCAATAGACTAGCTACTGTACTGTAGACAGACATCAATAGACTAGCTACTATATACAAACATGGTAAAGTAGTTACTGTTCTGTAGACAGACATCAATGACCAGCTACTATAGACAAAACCCGGTATACTAGCTACTGTACTGTAGACAGAACTCAATAGACCAGCTACTACAGAAAAAAACACGGTAGAATAGCTACTGTACTGTAGACAAAACTCTATAGACTAGCTAATATAGAAAGACACGGTAGACTAGCTATTGTATTGTAGACTGAACTCTATAGACTAGCTACTATAGAAAGACACGGTAGATTAGCTACTGTACTGTAGACAGAACTCTATAAACTAGCTACTATAGAAAGACACGGTAGATTAGCTACTGTAGACAAAACACGGTAGACTAGCTACTGTACTGTAGACAGAACTCGATAGACTAGCTACTGTACTGTAGACAGACATCAATAGACTAGCTACTATATACAAACATGGTAAAGTAGTTACTGTTCTGTAGACAGACATCAATGACCAGCTACTATAGACAAAACCCGGTATACTAGCTACTGTACTGTAGTCAGAACTCAATAGACCAGCTACTACAGAAAAAAACACGGTAGAATAGCTACTGTACTGTAGACAAAACTCTATAGACTAGCTAATATAGAAAGACACGGTAGACTAGCTACTGTATTGTAGACTGAACTCTATAGACTAGCTACTATAGACAAACACGGTAGACTAGCTACTGTACTGTAGACAGAACTCTATAGACTAGCTACTATAGAAAGACACGGTAGATTAGCTACTGTAGACAAAACACGGTAGACTAGCTACTGTACTGTAGACAGAACTCGATATACTAGCGACTATAGACCGAACCCGGAAGACAAGCTGCTGTAGACATGATCCGATGGACTAGTTCTTCTAGTCAAACTTGCAAGACTAGCTACTGTTGACAAACCCGGTAGGCTACCTTCTGTAAACATAACGACAAGACTAGCTACTGTGGACAGACCCGGTAGGCTACCTTCTGTAAACATAACGACAAGACTAGCTACTGTGGACAGAACCGGTAGGCTACCTTCTGTAAACATAACCACAAGACTAGTTACTGTGGACAGACCCGGTAGGCTACCTTCTGTAAACATAACCACAAGACTAGCTACTGTGGACAGACCCGGTAGGCTACCTTCTGTAAACATAACCACAAGACTAGTTACTGTGGACAGACCCGGTAGGCTACCTTCTGTAAACATAACGACAAGACTAGCTACTGTGGACAGACCCAGTAGGCTACCTTCTGTAAACATAACCACAAGACTAGTTACTGTGGACAGACCCGGTAGGCTACCTTCTGTAAACATAACCACAAGACTAGCTACTGTGGACAGACCCGGTAGGCTACCTTCTGTAAACATAACCACAAGACTAGTTACTGTGGACAGACCCGGTAGGCTACCTTCTGTAAACATAACCACAAGACTAGCTACTGTGGACAGACCCAGTAGGCTACCTTCTGTAAACATAACCACAAGACTAGTTACTGTGGACAGACCCAGTAGGCTACCTTCTGTAAACATAACCACAAGACTATCTACTGTGGACAGACCCAGTAGGCTACAATCGATGCTTTCTTGTAGCCTTAATTATCGCCCCAACTGTAATTTAGAAGATATATATATATATATAATTTATGTCAATACGTTTATGAATCATCTCATATCAATAACCGTTATATCAATACTGTGATTTTAATGTAGTGACTGTTAATATTTCCAGCGTGTAGTATTGACCGTCCACTAAGGACAAGGATATCTGCATTCTAAATGTTCTGTTAAAGAAATATACACCCTGTGACATCTCTTTGGTCGATAATGTAATTAAAGATAGATATATGTAACTAACCAAGAGCATTGATTACTAGTGTTTAGCTCGCAGGTGTATCCGTCTGTCAATCACACTATCTTCCATCAATATTTCACCCCAGGTCGTAGCAAAACATACCCGCAAACATTAAGAAAATACCAATGTGTTACCATTATCATAATCCAAACTCAAATTCAATAAAACTAGGACAAAATATGAATAAAAGATTTACATGGAGAAAAGTACAAGGAGAAAAGGGACATGTGTTCCGGAAGAGTAAGTGTCTTCTGCTTCATAGACAACACCCCATGTAAACCTTGGTCAGTCTAAAGAGCATCAAACACGTCCAGATTCATATCGCACAAAGAAGTAGAATCACTATGACGGGAGTTAAACTTCACCAACTGTGTTATGAGTTTGCCCGTACGTTGAAGACTTCTTGCATGAAAATCGTGGTAATGGGAACACTGAATATTGAAGCAACTGCGTTATCAACACCATTGGTTTTGGATACAGGAATGTTGCTGTCAAGAAATGGAACACTCACAATAGGAAGATTGAAATCATCACCCTTATCATACAGCTTGGTGAAACAGCTGTCCATGTTGATTTCGTTGCAGGAAAAGATTGAGGTAAGCGGCTGAAGAGTCCCCTTGATTTAGTTACAGTAAAACAACCCGACCTCTATCAACTTTCCACTCCTAGTCGTAGTGAAACTACCCAACCTCTGTCAATATTTCACCCCTGGTCGTAGTGAAACTGGTTAAACCATCAATATTCCACTCTGAAAGATATGAAATACTGATACAACCAGTCTTACAAGCGTCCAATCATTACCTCACATCAAAAGTCAAAATTAACTCCCCAACTCTAAAGAAGATTACAGCATTACTGATCGTCTTCACGCGAATAAATATTGCTACTAAATGATATAACAATGCAGAAAAAATATTTTTCTGTAACATTTTCAAATTCAGTTATGAATGGTCAGTTAAAATACTGATGCAAGTACGAAACTAAGAGGTTCACAAATAAAATATTTGCTAACCTCATAAATACAATTGTCTATTGACTGATGGTTTTCATCTAATATGTTAAAGATCCTACAGCAGAGGTCATTTATTAATGAGTGATTCGTAGAAGTAGTGGGTCAGCCGATATATTGCCACCATCTAAGGGAGCTATTAACCTGTTAACGCTACAGAACGTTATCGATCGAGAATTTAAAGTAGATACATTTCGCAAAGAGTTGGTTGTCAAGTGACCAATAATTGAACAATATTGTCATACTTCGTTTATGAATAATCATGAGGCTGAAGTTATCAAAAAAGAATAGTCTAGGACAAATAAATTACATGAAATTATGCAAATGTGTAATCTTTATCCTGACAAATATATCCTATAGAACAGCAAATTTACATCGTCTCCCTGACAACACGCTAACCTGTAACTATGGTAACGCTTGACGACAGAATCTTCCAATACGACCTCGTTTTACGCCAAATTGCCTATTTATGTGGCAGTATTTCCGTGATTTTCAAAGTTAGACCACAAATGAATATTTTCTTGAAGTGGTCACTACAGCCGAAATAAGGGGCGTAAAGCTGCGAGTATGTGGAACGAATGACTGTACTACAACATATTATAGATTTAATAGGTTTAGCATTAATGAAACTGCGCAAAATAGTTATCTTGAAAATAGATCAAATTGTAAGCAAAATCTCTGCTATGCGTATGCCTTACGTGAAATATACGTCCTGGAAGGCTTTGATAAGCCATGGCGAACGATCACATAAAGCTTAACAGCATCATTGAAACACTACGACATGCAGGTAACGGTGATTTAATGATATATCGACCAGAGATATCGATACAGCGATATTTTTTACCAGAGCTGAGATTCAGTAATGAATGTGGTACTAACAATGATATAATAACTTTGCCAACAATACTTTATATGACAATATAAATATTTACTTTGACAATGCTCGTCATAAAACAATCCCAAGGGCGAAAGGATGAATAACCCTTCCAATGACATACTTTACGCTAGGAACCGACATCTTTTAATATTCCTACGTCACCATATTTCTTAAATGACCATTTATTGTACATATATTGATTTCCTTAAAATGATGGTATGTAAACGAAACAAAAATGCTGAAACGTAATGTTTACTGTCGATATTGTGGAGGCTCCTACTGGCCTTAACTGGATTAATCTAATCCACTGACGATATTAAAAAAAATCCGCGTGAAGGAACGTCATTTGTTTATACATCTACATAACTTAAATTAATAATTAATTGTAGCAGATGAATCTAATGGAATACTATATTCGTAATATTTTATTCGTAATATTCTGTGTCCCACATGACCCAACCAATAGATGCCTCTGTATCTACATAGAAAAAATACTGATACTCACTAGCTGTATCCACTTCAACACCAGGTTGTTTCCCATGTGACCAAACCAATAGATGCCTCTTTATCTGCATAGAAAAAAATACTGATACTCACTAGCTGTATTCACTTCAACACCAGGTTGTTTCCCACGCTATCTGTAAGAATCCTGGTACTAATATTCGTGTTTTGTATGAAGTTATAACACATTTACCTACCCTTAATCTATCCCAAATATTCTGCAAAGTTTATTTTAGAACTACAATTAATTCTAGAATTGACCAAACTTCCACCTTCCGAACCCGAACCGTAATTTGCTAATGGGATTAACTCAGAGACATCATCTTTGTTAGCTAAGGCTATAACAAGACTCACTTATTTATATAGCACGTGCGGTATCGAATAAGCTGAACACTCGTCTGTCGGTTTATAGACTCTAAATCACAGAAATAAAATTAAGGTATAGTTTGTATCAGAATACTACCGTTAGGTGCATTAAATGTTGTCAGTTTTCATAGTCGGTAATGAGTTCCGAAATGTCTAGCTTCAGAAATTAACAGAAAGTTATACATTATAAACAAGATTCGGATCAAACTGTTCACTAATTGGAGGTTTCTTTCCTACAGGTACGGCTAACTAGTCCGGCTAATAGTGGCACGCATACACTATTAATTTAATAATATTATATCTTACATCTCCCTATACATTTTCACTGGTTATGTCAGTGCATTTTCTTTTGATAGTCGAAATCAAATATCCTGACGTCAGGAAGAAGATTTGACAAATAGGAAAACATGTTTTAAGGACCGTATATCTTCTACTACCATCTTACCGACAACACTGATCAGTAACACCGAGTACAAATACAAAGGATTTCCGTGAGAGTTAGTGACAAAATATAGCTACTCCACAAACACGAAGACGACATTGCCAGTCTAAAATCACAAAGTCTACTTCCTCTAAACATACCAGGACGACATTGCCAGTCTAAAATCACAAAGTATACTTCCTCTAAACATACCAGGACGACATTGCCAGTCTAAAATCACAAAGTCTACTTCCTCTAAACATACCAGGACGACATTGCCAGTCTAAAATCACAAAGTATACTTCCTCTAAACATACCAGGACGACATTGCCAGTCTAAAATCACAAAGTATACTTCCTCTAAACATACCAGGACGACATTGCCAGTCTAAAATCACAAAGTATACTTCCTCTAAACATACCAGGACGACATTGCCAGTCTAAAATCACAAAGTATACTTCCTCTAAACATACCAGGACGACATTGCCAGTCTAAAATCACAAAGTCTACTTCCTCTAAACATACCAGGACGACATTGCCAGTCTACAAACACAGTCTACTTCCTCTAAACATACCAGGACGACATTGCCAGTCTAAAATCACAAAGTCTACTTCCTCTAAACATACCAGGACGACATTGCCAGTCTAAAATCACAAAGTATACTTCCTCTAAACATACCAGGACGACATTGCCAGTCTAAAATCACAAAGTCTACTTCCTCTAAACATACCAGAACGACATTGCCAGTCTAAAATCACAAAGTATACTTCCTCTAAACATACCAGGACGACATTGCCAGTCTAAAATCACAAAGTATACTTCCTCTAAACATACCAGGACGACATTGCCAGTCTAAAATCACAAAGTCTACTTCCTCTAAACATACAAGGATGACATTACCAGTCTACAAACAAAGTATACTTCCTCTAAACATACCAGGATGACATTGCACAAAGTATACTTCCTCTAAATATACAAGGACGACATCGCCAGTCTACAAACAAAGAAAATGTAGATACACTACCAACACAAAACTCAGGTAGTCTGTCTACAAATGCTTCACAAAGTACAAATTGTCAGTAAGCTACATATGTTTACATGTAGTCCTTGTTATTTATTCTTTCGAACTTGAACAGACACATCAATGGCTAGGTACCTGGCAGAACAGATACCTCTCCAAGCTGTATGTCAACCTGGTGGGGCGTTGTGCTGGGTATTTTCGGTACTAGCACTTTGTAGTCGGCTCTTACATATCGTAGCCTCCCACAAACACACTCTTAAAACACACTCTCATTTCTCTTACATAGGAAGGCCGTCCTTAAATTACCACAGCTATTTATAGGGCGTTAAACTATATAAAACCGAACCAAACCTTTTCTTGGTGGTAACAATCCCCGCCTCTTCCTGATTTCGGTCTTCATACAGTTGAAATGATTTTCTTAAAAGCTGATTGTGTGATTTTTCTGGTTATATTCAGTGTTGTGTCTTACGTTGTGGTTTGTTTTCACTACCGTAGTTGTAACATTGAGGTCACAGTATTACTCGCATTTGGTATTAGACTTACACATTACTTCAAAAATGATAATCTTTTCGAAACAATAGACCGTGACGTTCTGATTTTATCGAGGGGTCGTTACAATTGGTTCCATTGGTAGATATTAAATAAATACCCTCCATATATATATATCACGTTACTGGTATCGATTTCGAATTTCACTTGGATATTCACATTAGAATGATACAAATCTGGAATTTCACTTTCGACAATCTCACCAACATTATCGTCATTTAACACAGCTGGCTGTGAAGACTACAAATTATTGTGACAATTTTGTAAAACACAAAAATTTGTCACCTCCCGCAGCTTGTAGTACTGATACAACCGGCTTATTGGTTCGAACTTATATGGTATTCTCGGATTCTGTTGTCACTGCGAATCACAATAAATGTTCTTTATAGGCGCGTGCCAATATATTATTCTAGATGTTATACACGGGGGAAACCATTGAAAAAGAATGTCATCAATTGTCTCGAATACAATGTAAAATGGCCGATCTACAAGGGAGAATCATCATATCTAGAATTGTTTATTAAACAATAAGGTAAAATGCATAAAGAGTAAATGAACAGTAAATCTTTCAGGAGTGTTAATGTATGGAAAGATATTGATATTGATAAAGATATTGTAGACGGACGTTCAGCGAAGAAGACAGAATTATAGTGAAGCAGACGTTCAGTGAAGTAGACGGAATTATAGTGTAGTAGACGGACGTTCAGTAAATAAGACGGAATTTTAGCAATGTATACGGACGTTCAGTGAAGAAGACGGAATTATAGTGTAGTAGACGGACGTTCAGTAAATAAGACGGAATTTTAGCAATGTATACGGACGTTCAGTGAAGAAGACGGAATTATAGTAAAAGATACGGACGTTCCGTGAAGAAGACGGAATTGTAGTAAAAGATACGGACGTTCAGTGAAGTAGATGGAATTATAGTGATGTAGACGGACTTTTAGTAAAGAAGACGTAAGAATAGTGATGTAGACGGACGTTTAGTGAAGAAGACGTAAGAATAGTGATGTAGACGGATGTTCAGTGAAGAAGACGTAAGAATAGTGATGTAGACGGATGTTCAGTGAAGAAGACGTAAGAATAGTGATGTAGACGGACGTTCAGTGAAGAAGACGTAAGAATAGTGATGTAGACAGACGTTCAGTGAAGAAGACCGAAGTATAGTGATGTAGACGGACTTTTAGTAAAGAAGACGTAAGTATATTGGTGTAGACGGACGTTCAGTAAAGAAGACGTAAGGATAGTGATGTAGACGGACGTTCAGTGAAGAAGACCGAAGTATAGTGATGTAGACGGACATTTAGAGAAAGAAGACGGAGTTATAATGAAGTAGAAGGAATTCTAGTAATGTAGATACAAGTCGATGTTAATCATAAGGAAGGTTTACAGTTATCATTTGTTGGTGCCACTATATATAAAGGATGGAGAGGCTCTCTTAAAGTCCCAGTCACTCCATTAACAATCTCAGCAAGACGGTCGAAGGAAATTGACAAAGGTCGTATTAAGTATACTTTGAACATTTTCTGCTTTTCTGAAGTATACTATACACTGGTTGCAACGAAAGATGTAATTGCCGAATCTTAATTAGCCATGACAGCTGGGTGTTTCTGCTGCGTTAAATGAATCACTCACCGGGGTAGGGGATGTTCTCAAACATGATTTTAACCTTATGGAACCACTCAGGCCTCTGTAACTGACAGGCTACAAATCGTAGTCCTGTAGAAGGAAGCGAAATAGCATGAAACAGTTGTATAAAGAAAGAAACTCTTTAAATTAATTATTTTCTTAATTGAATGGTAGAAGAGATCGTTTTCTCTCTTTCCAGCAGTGTAATAGACATTGAAATCAGAAATGGCTGCCGCGGGACCATTATGGTGTTCAAAGATTTCGTGTAGAGCCATATAACACCGCCATTCAGGAGACAGTTCATCATTGTAGCCTTATTGGAAATGTCCTGTCCTGTCACTAAAACATGACACGTGAGTCTGTGATAACTGATAATTGACGCCCTATCTTCTGCCTGGTCATATATCTGTAATTTAACTTCCAGACAATGATGTTAGTAGAAATTCCATTATTCCTAAAACACACCAAGACTATCAACTTGTGTTAAGATATCGCCGTGATGAGTGGCATCTGGTTTGAAGGAGAACCCTGCTGTCCAAACTAAATGCCCTGCTATAACACCGCCGGGAATCCGATTATTTATGACAGATAAGAGAAGTACACCATAATATTAAGTAGAGGACAAAGTTGTGAATACATGGTGACATCTCAACGAGAATACCGAAATCACCACCATCATTTTAAACCATCTGAGACAATAGAAAGTGATTTCGGTATTCTCGATAAGATGTCCCTATGTATTCACAACTTTGTCCTCTGATGATTTAAAACAATGGATAGTGATTTCGGTATTCTGAAGACGAAGTTGTGAATACATGGGGACATCTTGCCGAGAATACCGAAATCACCATCTATTGTTTTAAACCATCTGTGGATTTATTTACATTGCATTACTTATTCCGCGGTCGATTTTAACAAATAATTTGGTATTTTGCTATCTTTAATTTTGTATGTAACTCGGTTTATAAAGACTAATTTTAGAAAGCACAATGACAGAAGCATCTGGTGTGTTCTATCACTGTGCGTCACAACAATATCAAGTAAAAATGCATGTAACTTGCAGATAATCACTATGTATTAACCTGCGCCAAAAGCACGTTACTGAGGGCGTGTCAGTTACCACATGGCACAGTACCTAGGTTATCATTATACACTTTACAAACTAAGTCCGTGCATACAATATAAATAATTCTCCGCCTTCTTCTGTTAGTATAGTACAGATGGAAGTGAAATCGACAGAACGCCCTCTGGTGTCGGCCATCCCTTCCTTGTGAGCGTGCAGGGTGATAGATCGCGCTACTATCGTCAACCTGTATCTCTATAACAGTATCATCAGCCCCCATTTTCCGTACTTACAATGCCTAACTGCAAGCCAGGTGGCAATAGGGAACTTTATACACTGCATACGTGTTTGGCCAACTGGTTGGCATCGTTGTAATGGTCGTTTCCACGGTATTGAAAAACATGGAATAGCAGAGCACCATTTATCTTGGCATCGATATTGTACTAGTTGGTATAGTGCGTCAGGATGTATCAATCAGCACGTGAAATACACAGCAGTTAATATAGACTGATTAGGATAGGGTATGGTATAGTCATTTCATATCATGAAGTATGAAACCAGTTCATTAAGTTCAGAAAAGACCTGTGTGTGACAAACCCCGTGTAGACATGAGACCATGATAAAAGAGATATCTCACTTGTGTGTGACAAACCCCGTGTAGACCTGAGACCATGATAAAACAGATATCTCACCTGTGTGTGACACACTCCGTCTAGACCCGAGACCATAATCAAACGGATATCTCACTTGTGTGTGACACATCCCGTGCAGACCTGAGACCATGATGAAGCGGATATCTCACCTGTGTGTGACACACCACATCAATAGATATATTCCCTAGCCTAGGTGTGTGACAAACACGCTGTTAACCTAGACCTTGGAACATGAATTAACAAAACATCGCCCTTAATTGTTTGACACGTTCGGTGTAGACCCGAGGAGATGATAAATAAGATGGTTCCCCCGAGTGTGTATAGATTAGTTAGCCCTTCAATAGTAAAGTTCTTAGGAAACCTTTATCAGTGATTTTTTTATTGGTCTATAACGTATAACGAGGTGATAATGCTATTGGATTGTGGATCCTAACAGAGGCAGATTTGAAGCCAACCCCTCATAAAACTACTCATCACTATCTTGAAAAATTAATAGGAATGTCTTCCGCAATTAAAATATCTGTATCTATGTAAGCTTGACACGTACGGGGGTTATAATGTATCATTCCAGCTGGGAAATATCCAATTCCCTTGCCTGAATAGGCGACAGCACTGATTTAAATACTCTATATATCAGAAACCCCGGCCGATTCACTTACTTGCTTGTTAACGTGTCGACTCGGACAAATAATGACGTTGATATAGAAGCATAGAACAATATTACACTATGCAGTATGATACAGCGAAACACATTATGATGCTGAACATCATTATATATTGATATGTTATGCAATAGACACTATAAAATATGAGAAATATGACACTTCCAGACAAAATTCAGTGTTAAAATATGAAGGATAGGAATTATAACACTGTGGAAATAAGAGAAACATTGTTGAAATAGTGTAAATCTTGTTCAAAGATCCAAATATCGGTATGTGATCCCTTCAGATTCCAAAGTGTCAGTTACTATTGCTACAGATTAAGGCGAAGTTTTATGGTCCCGGACGGACATATGTTTTTTACATATGTCACATCAAGTTTGACTTTTTCGTCGCTCCTACACATATTTGATACAAAGTCGATAGTCTCTTTCGTATGTTTAGAACGTGACATTACTCGGATTGACCACGACTTCCATGTCGTCGATGAAGCAGAACACCTTACCACCCAGAAACACCAGAACTTATTCTCATGTTACATTACAGTTTTCGTTTTATCGATTCGAATAAGAATTCAGATTTTTTTTTAACGAATCCGTATCTTCCTCTTTTTAAACGTAGTATAGGTATGTTATGGTTAAGAAATAATTAGACATTTTTAGGGTACATACATTAGTTTACATTGCACATAGTACATTGCAAAATATATTTCATGGTATTGATATAATATCGTAGATATAACAGAATATTGACATTAACATCTTAGTGATATTAACATCGTCGAGATAACAGAATGTCGACAAAAACATCATAGTTAAAACAGAATATCGACTTAAACATCATAGTTTTAAGAGAATATTGACATGAACATCATAGTTATAACAGAATATTGATATAATCACCGTAGTTATGAATTGGACCAGGTGTATTCTGAACAAATTATTAAATTTGAAGCTGAAGAAAGCTGCCGTTTATATCATGAAATCGGAAATTAATGCCAGCACAACAATCTGCAGTATGCTTTGTATTAAACACGTGTTTACCATCAAATTACGGGAAATTGAATTGGAACTACAAAACAAACATGTATATATACAACTACTGACTCACCTGATGGAATTTCCACCAGTAACTACTTACTCCCAAGTCCTGTGTTGTCTTCCCTCCTCACATATCATTGTTTGTATATTTCAATTTAAGTCTGACTGTCCGTAACTGTCGAGTCTAAGCAAGCCTGTGTCGTGACACTGCTGTGACTGTACCATCCACATGCCCTTTCAATAACATGACTGTTCCTTGGCACCAGGATTACTGTCCAATATAAATGGACCACGGAAGAGAGGCGGCCTACTTGGCTGTGTAGCTGGTGGTAAGTCTGACTGGGTATAATACCACCGCCTTCACTCTGCATGTCACCTAGTATTTTGTATTGAACTTTAACCTTCTCTGATTAGTCGAGACGAAACACACAGTGATGACATTAACTTAATATATTTTTTGTTCCAAATCCATATGGTATTTGAAATAAAAAACGAATAAAAACAAAGTTTGAATGATAAATTTCCCTTGCTTTGGCGGACACGCCCCTGAGTAGAGTAGATTTATCAGAAAAATGTTTCCAGGGAATTAAAAAACGAGGAATCTATAACATTGGGCTCATTCTTTACCATCTAGTTGTAATATGAAATCGTGTTTTGAACTGGTGACACGAGTTCTATTCATGTAAAATGTATTATCGATATTACGTGCTTTATTGATATCGATGTTCGTGTTGTACGTTATAGTGTATGTATATGTTGTATCGATGTCATGTCACGTGATCAACTGATATTATGTGTTTATTGATGTCACGTGTTATAGCGGTATCACTTGTATAATTGCTGTTGTGACGTGTCACATATTGCATCTGTCAGGTGCAGTCTCTACCAGAGTTATCGTTCCTTAACAGTCACGATATATATGTAAATTAGGATACTGCATACTCTTTGGGAGAAATTGTTGTGGGGGTGTTGAAAACAAAGTCCTTTCTGGTATACAGTATGCTTAAGATCACTTTTCATTGGAAATGTTGGTAATCAATTCAGAAACGTCATTAGACTTGGATTTTTCACGGAACGTCTTATTCGCCTCGCATTTTTTTCATATGTATGTGTAAATATTTCTTTTGTTCACACTTTGCCCTAGTTTGTTGAGTTCGAGTTTGGATATGTTGTGGTTATGTTTATGTTTTTTTAAAATATGTATCAATGGAAAAAGAAACCGTGCGTTTAAACTGTTCAGATCATAGATTCATATGCAAAATAATACATATGTGTATTGTATGTTATAGTTTACACAAAATCTGTCTTTACTGTGTATTATCTTTATTGTGACATTGAGAATCAGAGAGTAGGTCATTTGGGAATGAAATTGATAGTCACAGAAAGGAAGGGTGCAATTCCAGTTTTACAGGTTCAATACTACGTATGTCCACCCTTTACATGGACGCATGCCACACATGTAACTGATCAAATTATGCAGAAATGCTCAAGGAACCTTCTACCGTGTGATTGAGTATTTACAACGTCATGCATTTTATGTCGCGGGGTGTTTTGGCTCCCGAGGCAATCGTCGCTTCATTTCATCCCAACTATGCAGGCTTGAAAACAAATCCTTGTGATACAGCAGGCCAAGGTAGCATGGTGACGTTCTGCTGTTAAGATATGGCCCCATGAGTTGTAATTTCATCCCAGACCATAATACTTCCTCCGCTGGATCAACGACGCTGAACACGTCAATGTACCGTACTCCCGGCCAACGGTACACCCCAACACAGCCGTCACTACTATCATGGTGAAATCTGGACTCATCTGTGAACAGCAATTTAGGCCAGTGTGTCACCATGGTAAGTGTGTTGTGACGCTGAAGCAAAACTGGAATGTTGGCCTGAAATGCTTCCAGAAGTTAAAAAAGACGACTGGAACCGATTGCGTATATGCGACTTCTATATAAACATCCTATATTCTATTGGTGGGTGGTCCCGTGCCGTGTTTGTCTACTGAAGACGTCTCATCATGTCTTTATCGTACCAATTTGAAACCGAAAAATAAGCAAACACTAATTTTTTTCGTGGCATGTTCCAGGCAAAACTTTCCACATGAAAAAAACTTTTGATTCTTTTTTAGTATGTGTTGCCTTAGTTCAAAACTAAAAAAAAGTCACCAATCAAGTAATATTTTAATACTTCAAGTATAATCCATGAAATTTTCGGTGAGAATTTTTTTTCAGCATATTTTTTCCCGTAAGTATGTGTTTATTTATTTGAACCTATCTATAACGCATTGAATCGATGTATAATTGGTGTAACCCAAGGTACAGTGTACAATTATATAATACCTAGGTTCAATTTTTAAAAACCCGACTAAAACCTTAGTATACATACATTGTGCCTTACCACAAACCAATTTAACACACCTTCAAATAAATTAGGGAGATGATTTTATACATAGGTACAATTTTACTATACTCGTATGTAAATGATTAAATTCAGTTACAGTATATAATGTTAAAACGGCATTCCTGTTTTTATCTGGTTGATGTTAGAAAGTGCAATGTGTAATACGATCGTTGGCTCTAAAGTCCGTGTTGGTATAGGACGAGTGAAGTTTAAATACAAATCGATGTTCGAAGCCCGGGTCGTCTTTTAATATCTATACATGTAAGGCGTGTGCAAGGGAAACAATGTAGTTCCTCATAGGTTACATACTGGTGACGGTTATCAGACTTTTAAATTCAAATTTGTTTGTTTAATTTTACAATACAATGGAATAGTGTGTATTAAAATGCATTAACACTTCTTTACGGCCTATCTCACCAATACCAAAACACTCCATTAAAAAACGAAAGAGACAGAAACAAAAAAACACGGAAATGGCGCCATGCGATAGCACAATCAGATCTTTAATTAACGGAAACACGGCTAAATCAATAATCAAATGAAAACGGGACTAAAATGAAATAACAACAGTGATACATAAATAATCCTTTTCTAAACGAAGAACAAAGCAAATCCAGTCGGTCATTTAATGGACTATCTGAGAGGTCGATGCGTGAAATAGTCACAGCCATGTTGCTTTTTTTCGTAGAGTTTACAACAGGTCGTACCAGTGGTAGAAGTCATGTATTTAGTTATTGTCTAGATGTATATGAAACAAGAAATCGATAACTTTTCAAATTCGAAGTATTACAGTTGTCTAGCTTCTCTTAATTTGTGTTAATAGGCGTTATTATTGTGTTTGTCTTTCTACAACCGTTTTAGACACAGGCGTTTAAAATATTTGGGTGTGAATTCGAGGGTACACCGGTGGCATTTAAAGCGTCATTGTGATATCGACTTTTTTGAAGCGCTTAAGTCACTGTGATCTGCGGCTTCCTTGGTTACCTTGCCTTTATCGTCAATCATCATACTTGATATTTATTTAATTTTATCGGGAGATGACGGCCCACAGTATGGGCGCCTTTGGCGCCTACAAATACGCTTACAGTAGATACTTACAGGAACGAGAGGACAAGGAAAAGGAGCGAAGGGAATTGGAGGAAGGGCCTGAAACCGTGTGGGTAACAAAGCGATACATTCCAACTGACCTTCGTGTTACTGCTCCTGTTCCTCGTCATAAACTGTTAGCCCCTAAAGACCTTCCACAGGCAGAGACCCATTGGGTCCCTACCATTGAACCTCCTCTCAGAAGTTATGATAGAGGTCCAGAGGCAGCTATATTTAAATCACATCCCAGCACTCGATGTGAGGAGTACTCAACACTGAAGCAAATGTTGCCATCCAGTGGAAGTCTGATCAGAGTGGCCCCTCCCAACTGGGGTACTGCCGGAGGGGTTCCTGTTATGCACTCATTGGTACCATCACGCCGATACCCCATGATCAACAGTCCAATGACCAAGTAAGTATTTCCAGCCCGGGACAGATATCCGCAATTGTGTAACATGTTTTATATGTTCATTACTTATAGTACTTTACAGAATGTATATGTGCAACGTACCCGTGAATGTGTTTCATTTCTTAAAAAATATTCTTAACCATACTCTACTGTACAGTATTGTTTTAAAGAAGTTTGCATTTCGTTACTCAACACGATTTTTTTTCAAGAATTTGTACCTGAATCAGGTGGGAAAATAGATATGTAGCTAAATTCTCTTAAAATTTGCGTTACTTTCTCTTCGCCCAAGGGAAATGAGTATGAACGTATATCATTAATATAAAACACATCAACTAGCGGTAAAACACGGCAAAATTACTGATTTACGTGTATATTACCATTAACGAATTGTTTATATATATGGTTTGCATTGCCTCTTGTGTATTCCTGAATGAATAGCTCTGTATTCTGTAAAAAGTATCATATATGTTGTCTCCGATTAAGGACATACGTATTTAAAAAAAAATGCTGTAATGTTATCTATATTGAAATATACATGTTATATGTAAAAGATGCCATTAGGTATCGAACCCAGCACCACTGGTAATACAATGTACTAACTTACCTATTCCTTAGTAAGCCAAAGAGAAATTCTCCATCAACGGTTTGTAGCTTGCATATCACAAGGTATACATGTTCGTTACATTTATTTATACCCAGCCTTTGTTTAATTTGGTGTGAAAACTATTTATTGTTCATCGCCTATAGAATATCGACAGTTAAATTGTTAATGATACATGTTCAGCTAACTTGTCAAGACAAACTTCAGCTCTACAAAATGTAGAAGTGTATAGGTTGTAAAAGAGGATGTGGATATGTACTGTTTCTAATATCTTCGTCATTTTCTCTCTAAATATAGAAATATGTAAATGATTATTAGCTTCTACTTTAAATATACTATTTAATGTAAGTAAGGAAAAGTTTCCTCTGAAAGTAACACACCGGAAAGATTGTTATGCTGTCTAGGTTTCTCTGGGTTATGGGGCCGCGAAATCCATGGGACAAGGGCTTTAAAAACACCCCTGAAACCAAGGCATTTAACGGTATCTATTCAAATTCCAATGATGGTTTTTAAGGTATCCATACATGTAATATGGATGATGAGTTGAACTTATAACTACACGCACCCTCAAACCTTAAAACGCCATGAAACCAACTGTTTACCCAGTTCAACTTCCTTAAACCGCATGTAAATTAGAAATACAGATGTAGTTTGTATTGAATCACACAGACACACAGAGACACACATCCACGTTAGCGGAATATCTTATTCTTTTCTAATATATGGGAAAAATTCCCACTTGATGCTCCATCCTTTATTAAGTTGTTTTTCAAATACATATATATGATTTTATTGTCTTTTGTTTTTGCTTGAACCTGTTTTTTTTTCAATTACAGGTATGTGGATGATATGCATACAACCAACAAACTGTTCAAACTACATTGATAAAGGACAATATCTAAACAAACAGAATCCAGATGTTTCCATTCCGTCCATTTCACCAAGGCCTCATGTCGCCACATTGTGTGTTCTTCATTTTTTTGTAAAATTTGTATATATTTACACTTTACGCTCAATCTTACCATTTGAAGCGTTATGCTACCCACAGGTAATACAGGTGTGATGTGTATTTGTTTGTGGTATACATATACGTCATTAATTATGATACATCAGTATTAATCTACCCACAGGTTATACAGCTGTCATGTCTATTGTGGAACATATATATCAATCACTTTAATGATATCAGTATTAGCCTTGTCGTCATTATAGACAGGCTGTTAATTGTTACGAGTTTCTTTTTGACACCCAGGTATCGGTGAAATTTTTTGCCACTTGTATGTAGCTTAACACTTGCAGTTAGGAGAATCTAGTGTATGTATCAGTATTACGTAGTTTTGAGTTGCTCAACTTCTACAATTTGCTTGCTTCAGTATTTTAGTCAGTATTACAGATGTTTGATCATGTTGTTGTTGCTGTCCTACTTTGCTGTGATATATCTTAGAGCCCTTATTTGGTGCTTTCTATACTTCCCTCTTTTTCATTGTTACGTTTTTTTTACATATGTATATATCTATGGATGTTTATTTACCAAAAAAGTATTAGATACGGTACTCGTATAGCCCAGTGTGGTTTGAATTACTTTAAAATGCAATAACATTGATGAAATATTGACATTGATATAATCACAAAAAATACATATGATATAACCAGTGATAAATCTGATCAAGCTTAAAAACAAACATGGTGTCCCTGGTCAGTTAGTTTCGTGAACAACTATGGAACAGTTTGAAGTCTGTCCTGATAGTCACAGTAGATTTACAGGATGGATATCTGATAATAGGTCACAGTAGGTTTACAGGGTGGATATCTGATAATAGGTCACGGTAGGTTTACAGGGTGGATATATAATAGTAGGTCACAGTAGGTTTACAGGGTGGATATATAATAATAGGTCACAGTAGGTTTACAGGGTGGAAATCTGATAATAGGTCACGGTAGGTTTACAGGGTGGATATCTGATAATAGGTCACGGTAGGTTTACAGGGTGGATATATGATAATAGGTCACAGTAGGTTTACAGGGTGGATATCTGATAATAGGTCACAGTAGGTTTACAGGGTGGATATATGATAATAGGTCACAGTAGGTTTACAGGATGGATATATGATAATAGGTCACGGTAGGTTTACAGGGTGGATATATGATAATAGGTCACAGTAGGTTTACAGGGTAGATATCTGATAATAGGTCACAGTAGGTTTACAGGGTGGATATCTGAAGATAGGTCACAGTAGGTTTACAGGGTGGATATCTGATAATAGGTCACAGTAGGTTTGCAGGATGGATATATGATAATAGGTCACGGTAGGTTTACAGGATAATATTAAAATCAAGTGTTATTGCTTTAAGTAATTGGTGATATTTGAAATTGTTACGTTTTCCTCATTTTGTTCATGTTGAAGTGTACATCCTAGTTATATATCAAACATTGTTTTGTAAATTATTTCTTGTTACCAGTAAGAAGTTTAAAGGAAACAAATATCTTATTTGTTGACATTGACTATCTAAATAATATGATAAAAATATTAAATATTTTATAATGTACTCATTTTGGGAAGTCATTTTCCTCTATATATATATAGACGTAAACTGTTTTGATATTTTGATATAAAACAATAAAAGCTATCTACTTTTTTTCGATTTTGTTTTATTGTTGATATCAATTCAAGATGAGTTTTCATTAAACTAATTTCATTTCATACCAATTACATATAATCAGGGCGAATCTGGACAATCTGGTACATATTGACATGCTTTAAAGTCGGAGTTCTTGGACTAAATACACAATATGCATGTATTATCTTGGAAGATTTGATGAAGCCTCCCGAGCTGATGTAGAACTTCACTTTTTATAACTAGGTAAAATAATGTGTTGTTAGTTACTAGTAACTGTTTTTCTCCACAAAATCATAGTACAGTGTAACTACCATAGTACAAGTACTAAGTGGTTTTTATTAAAGGTTCCATGCAGATTCAAATTACACAATACCCGAAACAACACGAAGTCCGTCGTTTGGGATTTGAATTATACATCAAGGGATATTTAATAAAGTTCCCTAAAAGTTACAGTGTTGTGGAGGCTTAGCAAAAGAAAAAGGGTATCATATACATAAAGCTTGCGATGAATGTGTGTAATTCTAAGTCAGGATCCAGAACAGACCTGTCCGATATATATATTTGTTGTTTCAGTAATAAAAATGACACCCATCAAATGACCACCAACTATAATACCTTAACATGGATAACATTGGATCGAAATCTAAAATCATTAACCGGGAGTCTAGGTAGCATGTGTTGTCTAGCCTAGGTGCGTTTTTTACCACATGTCGATAAAAGGTGTCACCGCCTGTCAGTGAACCAGATAGCTTAGTTTAATCTTGTGCAAAACTTGAGTTTGATGAACTGAAAATAATTCAATGCAACGGCCGGATTATCTGTCGAGCTTGACTTGATCGATTAGCTTGTTAAGTGTTCTTTCAAATAGGCCATCGAATATAATATTCTATTTCACACTGTCACAAAACACACAGCTGTTCATGTTAGCGACTTCAGCAAGGGATGTATGTATACCAATATTATCAATGAAAGGACATTTCAAATCGATGAGTCGTAATGGAAAAGAAATTCAACTTAGTGAAATCACAGTCAACATTTTCGTCTATCGTCTATATCACGTGTTCCGTATAAATGTTTCTTGTTCTCACTTGTGCCAATGTCATTTTATATTGACGTTTTCGAACTCCTCTCTGTAAAGAATGTCTTCAGTATAAATACCTGTCCGAAGCCAATGACCATGACAATGACAGTTTGACCGACAGACCACCACATGACTCCTGCATTAATTACCTCCCCTATGTAGCGCCCCATCACCTCTTTTAGTCGGTAGTCCCGCTGATAGTCCACCACCATTGACATCACCTCGTGTATATTGTCGCAGGAGGACTCGGCGGCGGTGTTCACCGTGGGAATGGTGTTGCCCGCCTCTACAGCTAAATTGTCTATCTGTTCTTTGCGCAAGTCGAAGTAAACAACTTTGTGAGAAAACGCTGAGAACTCGTTGTCAAAGCAGAATTGGTATTCACCGTAGGAACTATCAAACAAGATTTTGTTCTCTGTAGTGCGATCCGCCTTGTACACAATCTTTCCATTCGGCGACAAGATCCATACATTGATGTCGTTGTTTCCGCCCCGTAATACTTTATACACAAACAATTTCGTTGTCGTGTCCCTGAACTTTTCTGTGAAACACACTTTTTCAGTCTCGGGCAGTTCAAATGTCAAGGCTGTTCCACTGGCCGTGGATCGGTAACAGTACAGGAATAAGATAATTACTATCCTCAGACCACAGATCAACGGCGCCATTGTATTGTGTAAGTTACAACTTCTCAACTGTTCGACATACTTGGTCACAGTACTCGTAATGACTTGATATCGTGAAGTTGATTACATACTCTGCCAACTCGACACCCACTACGTCGTTACTTTCGTGGCCAGTTCTCCGTACACGTAGCCAGGTCCAATACAAGCTGTGTCCTCAAGTCTTACATACATGCAGCAGATGGCCAGATGCATCGTTTGTAATGAAAAAACGCCTCACTATCTTTGTTATTGATCCGAAGAATGTCGAGGGCTTCTTCTTCTTCTTCACCAAAACTAATATCAGCGGAATTAACTCAATGGAATATTTAAGTTAGCTGTACCACAAAATAACTCTTAGTTTCGCATCTGAGTAAAAACACAGTAAACTTGATATTCAATCGCTTGGTAACTTTATAGGCCGCAAAAGTATAGTCTTGAACAAGGCCCGTTCTATATATATAAATTGAATTCAGACATCCACAATATCACATTTAGGACAAGACTTCGGCCAAAAGGTCACATTTGGAACTAGACACTGAACACAATGTCAAATTTGGAATCAAACATTGACACGGTCACATTTGTATCTGTACATAACAACGTCACATTTATATCAGTACATAACAACGTCACATTTGTATCAGTACATAACGTCACATTTGTTTATAACAACGTCACATTTGTATCAGTACATAACAAAGTCACATTTGTATCAGTACATAACAACGTTACATTTGAATCAGTACACAGCAACGTCACATTTGTATATAACAACGTCACATTTGTATATAACAACGTCACATTTGTATATAACAACGTCACATTTGTACACAACAACGTCACATTTGTATCAGTACATAACAACGTCACATCAACAACGTACATAACAAAGTCACATTTGTAATCAGTACATAACAACGTATATAACACATTTGTATATAACACATTTGTACATAACAACGTCACATTTGTATCAGTACATAACAACGTCACATTTGTATATAACAACGTCACATTTGTATCAGTACATAACAACGTCACATTTGTATCAGTACATAACAACGTCACATTTGTATCAGTACATAACAACGTCATATTTGTACATAACAACGTCACATTTGTATATAACAACGTCACATTTATATCAGTACACAACAACGTCACATTTGTATCAGCACATGACAACGCCACATTTTTATCAGTGCATAACAATGTCACATTTGTCAGTGCATAGCACAAGATAACATTTGCATGTACGCCCAGAACACAAGGTCATATTGTAAGCAAACATGACGAGACACATTTGCAACCCATCAAAATGTCACATTTGTAAGTGAACATCACAAGGTTACTTTTGTTACCGCACATTACCAGTTCATATTTGTCAGCACCAATCAGGTCACATTTGTAACCAGCTAGTCTGGAGAATTCCTGAGATATCTTTGATATCTAGCTGATCGAGAAAAGATTGGATGGGAACATCGTCTTCCGGTTTGACAAGGCAGATCCATCTTATCATGGCTATATCATTGCGTTGAAACCTCCTAAGAGTAGCAGCTGTTACTGTCCATGTTTCAGAGCCATACAGCAACACAGGTCTAATGTAGGTTGAGTAGAGGCAGCCTCTTGTTGTGATTAGGCAGATCTTTGCTTGTTAAGATTGGAAGCAGCTCTCTGAACTTTTCCATGCTGACTTGCATCTTGTTGTTACAGCAAGTTCACTTCTACCTCTAGATGACAACATATCACCAAGGTAGCAGAAGTCTGTTACTACTTCAAGCTTTTCCTCCCAACTGTTACCTCTGACATGGGTCTACCATCGAAGGGACAAGCAAGTCCATTGCAGCGAGTGCACTTGTAGTTCGGGTCAGACTTGAGGGGTCCCTTGATTCCACTACACTTCTTATGCGCCCAACTAGAGCAACTCGTGCAGAGAATGGAGTTTCTTCCCGTACTGTTGAGACAGACAGAACATGGATACTTTCCAGATCTTCTTAGAGTATCCAGATTTGGACCTGAGATCATTACCTTAGTCTTATTCATGCTGACTCGGAGCTCCCATGGGCAACTTACTCTGAAATGATGTGACAACGCTTCCGGAAAGATGATGGATAACAATGGACTAAGTACTGATCCTTGATGGACACCAACATTGAGATCAAACTGATCGCTGTAGCTGTCCCCAACTCGAACTCGGCTTCTAGCATCAGCGTACATGGCCTGCACAGTCATAATAAGCCATTCCTCAACTCCTAACTTTCGCATTGCCTACCAGATGACTTTCCTTGGTACACGATCAAACGCCTTCTCAAGGTCAACAAACGCCATGTAAAGGAGTTGATTAGCTGCGAGATGCTTTTCTTGCAGTTGTCGTAGGATGAAAATGGCATCAGTCGTTTCTCTGCCTGGCATGAAACAAAATTGCATGTCATCTATCCGGCTTTGTTGTCTGATCTGTTGCTCCATAACTCTCTCCAAGATTTTTATGACCTGATCAATCAGCTTTAGGCCTCTGTAGTTGCTTCTACTGAGTGCATCACCCTTGCCTATACACAGACTTACAATGTACAATGCCACTATATAATACACCGCTCACCTCACAGAAGTACACATCCTGGATACTCTAGAGGTTATGGTCACTTTTGCTCTCTGTACCCCTGGGACATATAATGGCAAAATTAAAGATTCCATGTACGACACCTTTTGGACAAGTAGAAAAGACTAGTTTGATTCTTTGAGGTACATCAAACGATTCTCACATGCACATATCGGTATACTGTGATGACTTTCAAGTTAGGTGTCACTCCTTTGTATATTACATCTGTTGAGTTTCAACCACAAACCTGATCGAAGTATATTACATCTGTTAATTCTCCACCACAAACCTGACAGAAGTATGATACATCTGTTGAGTCTCCACCACAAACCTGACCGAAGTATATTACATCTCTTGAGTCTCCACCACAAACCTGACAGAAGTATAATACATCTGTTGTGTCTCCACCACAAACCTGACAGAAGTACGATACATCTGTTGAGTCTCCACCACAAACCTGACAGAAGTATATTACATATGTTGTGTCTCCACCACAAACCTGACAGAAGTATGATACATCTGTTGAGTCTCCACCACAAACCTGACAGAAGTACGATACATCTGTTGTGTCTCCACCACAAACCTGACAGAAGTATATTACATCTGTTGAGTCTCAACCACAAACCTGACAGAAGTATAATACAGCTGTTGAGTCTCCACCACAAACCTGACAGAAGTATATTACATCTGTTGAGTCTCCACCACAAACCTGACAGAAGTATATTGCATGTTGAGTCTCCACCACAAACCTGACAGAAGTATAATACATCAGTGGAGTTTCCACCACAAACCTGACAGAAGTATATTACATCTGTTGAGTCTCCACCACAAACCTGACAGAAGTATATTACATCTGTTGAGTCTCCACCACAAACCTGACAGAAGTATATTACATCTGTTGAGTCTCCACCACAAACCTGACAGAAGTATATTACATCTGTTGAGTCTCCACCACAAACCTGACAGAAGTATATTACATCTGTTGAGTCTCCACCACAAACCTGACAGAAGTATAATACATCTGTTGTGTCTCCACCACAAACCTGACAGAAGTATATTACATCTGTTGAGTCTCCACCACAAACCTGACAGAAGTATATACATCTGTTGAGTCTCCACCACAAACCTGACAGAAGTATATTACATCTGTTGAGTCTCCACCACAAACCTGACAGAAGTACGATACATCTGTTGTGTCTCCACCACAAACCTGACAGAAGTACGATACATCTGTTGAGTCTCCACCACAAACCTGACAGAAGTATATTACATCTGTTGAGTCTCCACCACAAACCTGACAGAAGTATAATACATCCATTGAGTTTCCACCACAAACCTGATCGAAGTATATTACATCTGTTGAGTCTCCACCACAAACCTGACAGAAGTATATTACATCTGTTGAGTCTCCACCACAAACCTGACAGAAGTACAATACATCTGTTGTGTCTCCACCACAAACCTGACAGAAGTATATTACATCTGTTGAGTCTCCACCACAAACCTGATGGTAGTATATTACATCTGTTGAGTCTCCACCACAAACCTGACAGAAGTATAATACATCAGTGGAGTCTCCACCACAAACCTGACAGAAGTATATTGCATGTTGAGTCTCCACCACAAACCTGATGGTAGTATAATACATCTGTTGAGTCTCCACCACAAACCTGACAGAAGTATAATACATCAGTGGAGTCTCCACCACAAACCTGACAGAAGTATGATACATTGGTTGAGTCTCCACCACAAACCTGACAGAAGTATATTACATCTGTTGAGTCTCCACCACAAACCTGACAGATGTATATTACATCTGTTGAGTCTCCACCACAAACCTGACAGATGTATATTACATCTGTTGAGTCTCCACCACAAACCTGACAGAAGTATATTACATCTGTTGAGTCTCCACCACAAACCTGACAGAAGTATATTACATCTGTTGAGTCTCCACCACAAACCTGATGGTAGTATATTACATCTGTTGAGTCTCCACCACAAACCTGACAGAAGTATATTGCATGTTGAGTCTCCACCACAAACCTCTGTTGAGTCTCCACCACAAACCTGACAGAAGTATATTGCATGTTGAGTCTCCACCACAAACCTGACAGAAGTATATTGCATGTTGAGTCTCCACCACAAACCTGACAGAAGTATATTACATCTGTTGAGTCTCCACCACAAACCTGATGGTAGTATATTACACCACCACAAACCTGACAGAAGTATATTGCATGTTGAGTCTCCACCACAAACCTGATGGTAGTATATTACATCTGTTGAGTCTCCACCACAAACCTGACAGAAGTATATTGCATGTTGAGTCTCCACCACAAACCTGACAGAAGTATATTACATCTTTTGAGTCTCCACTACAAACCTGACAGAGGTATAATACATC